ACGAAGAAAGGAAAAGAAAAATCAAGAATGTGAGAGAAAAGAGAAGAGAAGGGTGTGGCTGTGGCTGTGGGTGTGTGTAATTAAAGGAGAATAACGCACACCGACAAGACACCCACACCCACACACCCACACACCCACCCACACCCCACACCCACATCCACACCCACACCCTTCTCTTCTCTTTTCTCTCACATTCTTGATTTTTCTTTTCCTTTCTTCGTTAATATCCTGTTGTTGAACATTACTCAAATTACTCTTAACATCAATATAAAAAAGAATAAACGATAAACAGAATTTTTTTTTCTGAATATATTCTTGCAAACTAATGCAATGCTCTAATAAACAGTAGATTATACTTGAATGTAGGTCAAAAGAACTTCTTCAAGCATATAGATTATTATTTGTGATATTTATATGAAGATGTTTAATCACTATTAAGATAAAAAAAGAAGAATATTTTGTTTTTCGAAAGTTCAAAAATAAATAATTAGAAAAATTTATTTTCATCTATTATTTTACATTCATTAACAATTGATAATATGATATCTAACGAATGGAAACATCTTGTCATGACACTTGATTCGATTTGTTTTTTATTATCATCCTTTTTAAAAACAAGAAAACTGTGCTACATCAGTAGTTTTTAGATACTTGATTATGTTATTTAATATAGAATTATAAATAATATTTTTCGTAATTTGTCTTAACTAAATATTCTAGATAGATGAACCTTTTTTTTCCCAAGATCTATAATACGTACATTATTGTGATTTATAATATATTCAAAAAATACCAATAAACTATGTTAATTCACTATCATCATAAGTAAAGAAAAAAATTCGTTTTCTTTTTGTTGCTCATTCTTATTTTCTTTCTTCAGACTCACAGTGGAACAGTAGAATAAAATGGAGAAAAAGTATCCAATCATAAGTCTTAACCAAGTTTATCAATGAGAAAAAAAACACGAACAATATCGAATGTATGATGTCTCTATAGAAACGGTCAATGTATGAATGTTGTCGTTCATTTTTTTTTTTGAATAGAAGATATATATAAAAGAGAAGATAAAATATCATTGGCATCATAGTCAGATAGAAATAAACATACAAACAAGAGATTTATTGCATTCTTCTTTATTCAATGTCGTCGATAACAGTCTTCAATGATTTGCCTGATCTTGTATTGCTCGAATTGTTTTCATATCTATCGTCAACTGATATTCTCTGGGGATGGGCTTTTCTCAACAATCTTTTAACATCATTGATAACTGAATTAGGTTTCTTTTGTCATGTTAACTTATCTTCAGCGCATCGTCATCAATTCGACACTATTCTTCGTCGAATTCCATTAAACAAGATTGAATCTTTAATTATTGATATTGATGCATCACCACTTCAATTATCTCGATGGCCACATTTGCCTCGTTTGATAACGTTAAAACTTAAAGGTGTACGCAAACTGGAAGATGTCTCAACTTTTGTATTGCTTCACGCGACCACACTTACTCGTCTCATATTCCACTCATGTGATTATTTTACCACGGTAAGGATTTCACAAATCAGCAGAATAATAGACAATAGATCCATATAAAATCTTTGAGAATAATTAACTCGAACTCATTCAAACAACAAATTTAACTATTTTTTCGCATAATCGAATCCATGCAGAGAAAATTGAGAATTGATTGAAATTAAATATTTCTGCTTTTTTAAAGACTATTTAAAAAGTTTTCATTCTATATGAAAGAAAAGAAATTGACCAAAATTTGAAAGTCTACGAAATCCATTAAACAGGAAGCGTATCATTTTGCAAAATACAATATTTTTTCATTTGAGTGGTTTTTGTTTTTACAAATATCCGAAAAACTTGATTTATGATATTAAACATCTTTAGACTTTTAAAATAATTGAATAGAGAACACATTGAAATGAATGTGAAAGAGACATTTGAATATATTCCGCAATTTAAGTAAGGCTCGAATGTCACACATAAGAATACTTCGGGTTATGTTTTTATTTTTTTGCTATCTTGGTCAAACCCTTTTTTTTCTTATACACTTCAGTTTCTTGACTTGAACAATAATGTCAATCATAAAGACTGATCTTGAGATAAATATTTCTCAAGGACACGAGAGAAAATATTCTATCAAAGTATATAATTCATTCTGTCTTAACTGAAATGTCAGGTATTTACAATACATGTATCCTGTTGGAAAAATTTGCTCTTCAATTGGTTTTGTAAAAAAAAAAAAGAACTAATCAAGTTATGCATGGCAAACTTAATATCGAAGGAGAGAAGTAACTTCGAAAGTTGAGAATCTGTTCGTATCGATTTCTGCTCAAAAACGGAATAAAGATTTGATGAAACTTTAATTGGAAAAATAGAATTTTCTTATGAATTTCCTCTTTCAATAAAGTTCAAAAATTTTGCATAACTTCTTTCTTTTATGAATCGATGTTAACATTTAGAGATGCAGAAAACCGGGACTCGTCTGTCGATGTGTAGTCTCGTAAAAAGAAAATGGCTAATTTAAGAAAAACTGCTCTATTTAATTTTCGAAACACAGTTTTCTCGTGCATAACGTTCTAAAGGTTTTGCAAAACCAATATCTCTGATATTTCTTCGATTTTTTCCAGTTGTTTGAACTATTTTTCTAAGAGTAGATCTTTTCACGTAACTCAGTAGCTGAGATTGGAGCTGAAGTCATAATCTGAAAAATCACATAACAAAATAATCTTTATTTGTACATCTCTTCTCACATCACATATGTTATTTGCTCTTTTCTGTTTATAGACTGGCCGTTCCCTGGATTTTGAATATCCAATGTACAAGTTTTCGACACTAGTGACAGATGTTCTTCTTCGTCAGTTGCCTGTTCTTCGTTTACTTGATTTAGGCACAAACGCTCTTGTCTATTCTCTACGAAATTGGCATGTTACTTCTGTGTCGATCTCTCTTACTTATCTACGTATAAGCTTGGATTCTTTAAATGATGTACTTCGTATCTTGTCAACTCGATCATTATCAGACACATTGGAACAACTGCACCTCAGTGTAGAAGCTCAAGCTTCTTATCCATCATTAGATTCACTTACTCCATTATGTATGATGCATTTACACACATTTACTTTTGCTACACCATTGTGTTCACATTATCACAATGAAAAATGGTCATTTGTTGAAGAAATTACTTCTTCGACTATCATGCCTGTGTTGCGACGGATTAATTTGGCGATGATCCTTAGTATCGATCATTTAATTCACTTAAATCAAATGTCTCTCTTTGTTGATGATCGCCATGTCGATGTTCATTTCGCTTTTAGTGTCAATGATCGTGCCAAACATGCACAACTCAGCGAGTATATTCCACACGATGCTCGATTTCATAAACGACAAGTAGTTGGTGTGACATTCATCAACAACGTTCAATTCGAAAACTTAGAAATTGTGCCTATTGACTTGGCTTATGTAAGTTAAAGTTGTATTTTAATTTCATATGAATTGTACTAGGCAAGCTTTTTGAGTGAAAAAAAACAGCATATAAAGATTTCTCTATTTTTCCTTCTTGCAAGTTGGACTTGCTGAAATTAAAAATAACTGAAGTTTTTTGTTTATAGCGATCTCGTCAACATGTGTGGTATACTATTCCGTGGGCATTCAACGATTTTAAATTATACATACCGGATCCTTGCATTGTTCAAATCCAAGTATTTCCACCATCTCCGACGACGATTGCAATAGGCCCATCTCGTCTTACGACATTGCATTTATCAGGCGAAGTTCTGCCTCCACCTATTTTTTCTTTTCCTCATATCATAGCTCACAATCGCATTGACACGTTACGCTTACAAGAATTTGACAGATCATTCACGATGGTATTACCTGTTCTTCGTCATATAATTATTACTGATCAACTAAACTATTGTCCACTGTCAGCAAGTATCCGATCTATTCATATCATGAGTCATTATGATTCGTCTATCAGTGAGATGCCAAACTGGAATTTATTACGTGCTTTCTCAGCTTTGCCATTATTAAAGTCATTGCATGTTGTTGTGTATGATATACCGTTTATGTTGGAGGATCAAACTTGTCAGATTATTGCAGAGTCAGTATTAACGCTTACCAATTTTGTTTTTTGTTTTCGGCGAAATAGAGACGAGCATTACAATGTTAACAAAGTGTTTGATCAACATCGCACATTCATTCAACAACTATGTAATCGTGTCCTCGTTTTGTCACAAGACAAGCAACCATATGTCATTTTTGAAAGTGATGGATGTGGATTAACTATATGGTTTTGAGTATTAAAATGAAAAAGAAATTACTATCATCTTAAGTCTTCATAATCAAATATTGAACTTTGTTTTCATGGAATTATTGTAAATGTCATACTTTGGATGTGTATAATTTTGTCTATACGACAATTAAAAAAAAAGCATTGCTATTTGAGGCAATTACATCAAATATATATTGCGTAGATTGTTTTTGAACTTGAAAGAACAGATTTCTATCGATATTTCTAATTATTAGTTTCAAACAATAGTTTTCTTGAAAAAAATCAATTAATAGAAATTAATCTCATCATGATGATAAATTCATTTTTTGAGATTAATCGTGTTTCTCTGATGAAGTTGAATCCTATCTTTGAAGAAAAAACAAAATTAACTATACTGCCATTGAGCGCTGCGCGCTGGATGGAATGTCAGCTGACTGCAGACTAGATCTTCAATTCTTTTAAATTGATACACTCTAAAAAATTAAGACACTTAGATAAGACAGTTCGTGTGTCTATTTTGCATTAATTTTGCTTGAGCGTCTAAAATCGGTCATCCGTTGACACATGGCGCGTCTTACGAAGACACACTATATGTCGAACAAAAAGACGGATTAGGTGTGT